ATTGAATCTTATTTTTAAAAAATGTAAAATCATTAGTCGAATCTGAAAATTGTTAAAACGTCTAATATAATACTTTGCTTTCAATATTCTATTTATATCTATTTATTTTTTAATTTTTTTCTTTTCTGCATTCATTCTATTTCTTTTTCCTTTTTGCATTTTTTTTTCTATAAATAGTCGTTAGAAACCTCGATGTAGATGCGACTAAATAAATTTTTAATTAAAAAAAAAGAATGTTTTCTTGATCAAAGGAATGAATTATTTAATTCATATTATCACAACATTTTTATTGAAATGGAAACACGAATTTATTAATTTATGCAAAAAATATCGTTGAAATCAGTAGAAGCAGTATGAAATAAAATTCAGCATTAACGAAGAAAAGTGTAATTGAGGACACGTGATCCCTCGAGGCAACTTGGGGGAGCTCTCAGTTCCGATAAAAAGAGCGCAAATTATTTTTGAAACGAAGGCTAGACGGTGTTGCTTATTTTCCAGTCTTTTGTGGCAGTACTCGTTTGCTCCAGTGAAAATGAATGGCACTGAAGCCACCAAGTTTTAGGTTGTACGCTTCCAGGATGTTTTCTGAAGACCCAACGGTATGATTAAAGCCGGACGTATTTTTGCATGAATTGTAAGGATTCTTCTCATATCTTCAAGCACTTTTTTTCTACTTATGCGAGACTAAAGACAATTTCTTTTCCTCTCGGGGATAAATTGAAAGGTTGAATGATTTTTTTTTAATTGAGAAGGAGATTTCTCTTAGTTTGGGAATGATTTAAAAACAATTATAATAGACAATTAAAATGAAAAAAATGGGGGGAAATTGAAAAATTGTTTATTTTTTGGATTTCTACAAAATTTTCTATTGGTTTGTGCCCGAAAACATTAACGGAACTCGATTTTTCTGTATAAACATATTCTATCGAAATATTTCCTATAGAAATTTCTAGGCTCAAATTTTCCAATTTTTGTGGTTTGATTTTTTGAATAAAAATAGGAGAAAGATACAATAGAAAAAATTAAAAAATCATGTGGAGAAATTCCTCTAGAAAATTTCTACAGGAAAAATCGGCCAAAGACTAACAGAAGTTGTTCTTTGAGTTTTTTGAACTATAAAAAAATATAGTACCTCAGTAACGAGATGAATTTGTCAATCCCATTGACATCCAAACGATAAAATATCAATTACCTCTCGCCAGAAGGTCGCACTAATAATCCACGTAATTCCTAGTCATTCCCAATTAGCGTAATAAGATTTGAAATCACACGCTGGCAATTTTATCAGTAGGTGACGATTAAAAACCCATTGTATAACAGGCCTTAACACAATTCATGGCCTCTTAAAGTAAAGTTCAGGCCACAGATGCTGATAGTAATTGAAGTTAATTTGTCAGCTGAGTGAACGATACCCGGGGGGATTTATGGGTCTATTGTCAGTTGGTGCGTTTGGAATTCATAAAAATTTTGAGGCTTACGTTGCGGTAATCTTGGGGGAGAGGAATTCAGAACGTGAGACGTCACTGATGCGTTAAAGGACACATTCATCAGACCGCAGGCTTTATTATGTATTAGATAATAATCGATTCTCTCGGTACTAGGAAGTATTATTCAATATCTCGAGGTTTTGACCCTGAAGATGATTTTCAATCATTATTTGGATTCTTTTTTCGAGAAAATTCCTGGGAGATTTTCATCTGATTTTATTCAGTGAAATCCTGGAAGTGTTTACATTTTCACGGAAATTTTAATTGATTAAAAGTAAATTGAAAAAAATGAGAATTTTTGGAATTTTATGTGAAATTTATAAAAAGATGCATCATTTCCAAACAAAATTAGAAAATCTGAAAATAGAACGATTTCAGTGCTTCTTTGCATGAAAGCATGGAAATCGTTCTATTTTCATTATCGTTCCACATGCGGAAGCAAAAGATGACCTATTTCGCCCCTTTAGTTCCCAAAATATGTAAAAAAATGATTTTATAAAATTTCCGAATATCATTTTGATTTCAATTTAGTGAAAATTCTCTAGAGATTTTTATAAAATTTCTCCATCCATATCTTGCAAATTTTCAAATTTTCACGAAAAATGCAGGAATTTTTGTCTTAAAAAAAAGACATTCCTTTTATTTTCTCGTTACTCAACGAGGAAATCGATGGAAACTGTAAATCTTGATTCAATTTTCCATTCAAATTTATGAGACACTAGAAAAATTAAGCTGAATATATTTTTAAAAATGTAATTAATTGAAAATTATTTGAATCATTTCATTTCTTTCTTTTTTCAATCAGTCGAATTCATTGAAAATAATTAATGAAAACGATCCATTTTGTTCCATTAATTCCTAAAATATACCAAAAAACAATTTAATGCACCTAGATGTTTATTTAATTTTTTAATTGACAAAAATCATTGCATTGGATGTGAAGATTGAATCAAATAATCCTCGGATTTTTATTTTATTACGAAATAAAGTCGAAAGAGCAAAATGTCAAGAGTGAGAGAACCAGCAAGTGCATATCGATTGACAAAGCAATAAACCTGAGTGGCATATAATTCTTAATCTAGTTTCTAATCCGCGGAACTGCAGACGTCCAATGATTCATATTCAATGCCATTTAATTCAAAGCAACATCTCTTATTACCACCGGAAGTGACATTGTGACACATTAACGATTCATAATTGCGTGAATTATTGATGAATCACGGTGGCCTAATTTTTTATTCATCACGTGTGGAAAAATTTCAAAGAAAAACCTGGCGAATTCACTGGAAAATTATATTTGATTTTAATTTTTCACAGATTCTTTTAAAAAATTCGACATTTTTTCGAGCGTGATGCGTCGTTCATACCTCAGGATTTGCGGAGGTGTTGGATTTAGGGATATGAGGTAATCGGCAGCTTGAGATGTGGGATCTTTTTGAATGTAATAGTTTGCAGAGCGTGTTCGGTAGCCCGTATCGTGTTGGGTTACCGGACAATCCTTGATACAGTGTCTCGAATTGCGGTTCAAGGAGAACAGATGAATAATAAATCTTTTAATCAAATCTTTTTGTTTTTAATGGATTAAATTTTTTTCTAATTATGGAAAATCAGTTGAATTTTCAATTACTATTTTATTATTATTTTTATTATTAGTATCATGTCATTCATATTATTGTTTTTAAGATCATCTGAAGAGGATATAGCATATTGTGCACCTAGGGCGGAAAGTGAATACTTTTATAATTAAAGTACGAAAATTTCAAATTTCTTTTCGCCAAAATTCACGTTTTTTGCATTTTTCTGGGAAATTGTTGATCGGATTGACGTGAAAAATATACCGTTTTTGCGTTTTATCATTAATTAATGGCTCACGAAATTTCATGATCGTGCAATGATTTTCCTGCATTTTTCTCTAAAACTTTTCGAAAATTCACAAAGCTTTAGAATAAATGCAGGAAAATGATTGCACTATCATGAAACTTCGTGAGTCAGTCAAGAATGATAAAACGCAAAAAAGGTATATTATTTCGGGTCAATCCGATTAATAATTTGCCAGAAAAATGAAAAAAACGTGAATTTTGGCCGAAAGGGTGTAGTACATCTTTAAAATAATGTACTATTCTTTTGAGCACTCGACAGAAATTGTCGTACATGCTGCGTGTCACTTTTACTTCCGGCTATTCATGAAATTCGCTCCGAAGAGGATGCAAAATAATGGATTCAAGTCTCGTACGAGGGGGTATGGGATTGATTCACACACCAGGTGTGCAGAAATGAAAAATGCAGGTGTGAGGCGGATGCCCGCCGTTCAATTTACCAATGTACTTGTTCATTCAAGGGAGCAACAACGACATCGATTACAAATCGATTTGGGGTCCCTGGGATATTGACCAATTGATACATGGATTAAGCACGACGCAATCGCCGGATTGATTGCAACACAGTCGTGTGTTTATTGATAAAGTCGTCTGATAATTGTTTGAATTGTACTGGAGGAACGGAATTAGTGATATTGATAGCGGTTTTGTCGTTGTTTGATAAACAGGGACATGAGATTCCTGAGGGGGGATCAAGTGATTCGGGATATTTTTGGAGACAATATTGTGGAGGTCGTGTCGGCGATAAGAGAGGAAAAATATTTTGAGAATTCCCGGGGGTTTTAATTGGGATTATCGGTGAAATGGATTGCGTCTATTTATGCTGAGGATAACATTTCGGGGAATATTGCTGTAAGGATATTTAGCGAAGCGTCGGCATCTATGACAAATTAACGAACGCTGTGTTTTTTTTCTTTCTACAAGTTTTTCTTTGATCGCTACTGAAGATTTATAAACTTGGGGATGAACAACAAAATTAACTGTAATGAAAGACAGTTTTTCGCTAACATCAGACGAATGTACACTGAGAGAAAAACGACAAAGTTCTCAAACAAGTCTTACTTTTGCCAAGAAAATAGTTTTTTGAAAATTATCAAAAAAGGATTTTTTTGTGGCAAACATGCAGAGAGTGCGCCGGAATGAAAAATTTTTGTCGCTAAAATCGATTTAGTAATTCAAAAGAAATTACATTCTCTGTACACGCAAGAAATGTCATTTCTAGCACTACTCCTTCGTTATTCGATACTCCCATACGTATTTTGCACCCGAAAAATCTTTGTTTTATGCGAATTTTTCAATTAAATTCAATTTTTCCATAAAATTTTTTCGTCCGTGTCTGAAGAGTCTTGGAGAGACTACCAATCATCTTCACTCGAAAATTTCCTCTTCGTTTCACAACTGAGTTTTCAATAAAAATTACAACTACAGCTATTCCACCACGCACTGCGGAACATCCTGTGACGTCAGTCGCCATTATCCGGAAAAACAGACTAGACACATTGGCAATACACTCACGACATCGTTGACTCCTCGATGCACGTGCATAAATGTTTCTTCATACCCATTATTCATTCTGTTCTCCACCTCTTTCCGACACATTGTCAACGATAATTAAAAAAAAAATGACACTTTGGCATCTCATCGACTCATTTATTTGGAAAATTACTTCTAAAAAGTGGATACATTTTATTTTACAATCACATAGAGTAAAAATCATGATTCATCAATCGATTTGGCAATCCTCGAGGATTAGGGCTCGAGAGAGGTTCCTCGCAACAGCCAATCTGAATATCTCAACCTTATCCTGAAATTCAGGATCACCTCCGTGCTCTTCTACACACCTCATCAATGTGAATGTATCTTCACTCGATAGGATCACGTCCTCAGATTCCAATAGGGGTATCGCATCTGACAGGAGAATCGGCCAGAAACTGTACAGAAAAATGACGAAATGTTGGAATAATTTATTTTAACAATGTATTCTTGTATTTATGAAGTTATTTCATGAATGATAATTTTGATGAGTTGGAAGGATTTATTTCATTCGTTTTTCTGATTTTTCAAGGCTTTTTCTAGACTTCAATCTTTAAAAAATCATTTTCATATGATTGTGGGTCATTTAACGCTTCTAAATTAATTATTATGAATAATCCTGGCCAATCGGATCACGTTAAATTATACCTGAATATTTCTATTCATATTAATTTAGATTTAATATTCATTGAAAAACCTGTTTCCTTTTTAAAAAAATGTCGGCCTGTTAAAAACAATTGAAATAACTTCCATTTAATTGAACCCACAAAATTAATCTCAAAAATCCACATCAAATTTTTCCTAAAAACGAGAATTTATAAAAAATCGCAGAGCTTTCTCAAAGAGATAAAAAAATGGAGAATAATGAAAAATAAAATTCGTATCTTTCTTCTTCTCACGTCTGATTATCATCAATATTGAATCACATGTACACAGCTCCTGATAGAGACAATTTGATGCTGTACATAAGAAGTGTATTCTAGGCTGAAGGCCTGAAGGCAAGACCGTTAAAAATTGAAGTTAAAATTCGTAAGACCCCACTAAAATCCCAAAAATACTCACTACTTGGGCGTCAAATTGGACACAATCAGGGAGATGAGTAGCCTGGCAGCCTCTTTGAACTCCCCAATCTCATACATCTGATGAAACTCGCAGTACTTCCCCAAGAAGGTCAGCCTATCACTAGTCAGCATGTACCTCCCCAGATTCTCCAGGAGATCCCTGCACTCGAGTTCTCCCTTCGCCGCGTACTTCTTGAGAAACTGATCAGCAATGTACGTGGCAAAAGGCCCATCCTGTGCCTTGAGAGCCCAAGCCAAGGCGTTCCCCAGTCTCCCCTGCCTGATGGACTTGATTCCCTGGATTTTCGCGACACTAGCCACGACATTTCCCAGCCCGTTGGCCTGCGCCACATTGATGATCTTGAGGACTTTGGCCTCGTTGTTCAAGGGAATGCTCTGCAGAAGTGTCTCCAGCCTCGCCAGCCCCTGGGTGGAACAGTGCTCCAGATAACTGGCCCCACACTGCCACAAGGATGAATTTTCCATCAATGTGCTACCGTAATCCAGTATCAGGGATTCGTGGAGTTTGTCAGTGACGTTGGACTGATCTTTGTCCATGATATTGAGCTTCTCACTGTTGTACAATAGATCAGTGAGATGTGCTGCAAACCATCCGTTATCATTCATGTACTGAATCTGCTTGATCACCTGGTGCAGATCACTCTCCATTAGAGCGAGAATAATGTTATCAAGATTTCTCCTCGCCTGCCATTTCTCAGCAATATTGTTGGCATGTCTCGCCAGTTCTGGCTGCTTGCAGCACGGTGACGAGTAGAATAACTTAGCAGCTAGCAGTTCGTACCAGGCGTCAGTGTATTTACTCAACTCCCAGAGGACACTCTCATCACCAACAACCAGTCTCATCAGTTTATCCAAATTGTCGTCCACTGAAAATGTCTTGCACTCGATGTTTGAGGTGAGATCGAGCTGCCAGTACTTCCAGCGCATTGTGAATTCGTTTATTGAGTAACCACCGTAGACGTTGTATATGGGTATTGTTCGGAGAATGTTCTCGGCTGCTACGAAGCCTCGATTGTCGGCGCTACTGTGGTACAGGAGGAGGGCACGCACTACGTCTAGTTTTCCATGCAGGGCACAGGCGAATACTGATTCCCAGTAGTTTTGGCACTCTAACTCGGCGCCGATTGTTTTTTTCGAGAGGATCCTGGTGGCGGTTAATTCCCGAGAGGGAAAGTGAAAACGCACCCATTCCATCAGCTGGGGGAGAACGACGTCCCCTGGAAGATCGAGAGAATTGGTGGTTTATTATTATTATTTAGTTATTGACGGAAGAACATAGCTGGGATACATCTCATTTCAGTTTGAGTAACTGTGTGCTTGGGGATAATAACTTAAACTATTTATAATATACATAACATGGTGTTAAACTCAAAAATTCAAACTCCGATTTAGAATGGACGGGTAACATGACCTGACGTTGTGGGGCTTTTTTCGTTATTTATTGAACAGTTTTGATTACAGTGTGAATCACTCAGAAAACCCCATGGAGTGTATGGAGTGTACGGAGTGTATCGGAGGGATTCACGCAGGAGTGTGAATAGCCACTGCCCTTTCAAAATAATATCTCGAATTATCGTAATTAAAGAATGAAAAAAATTATAATCAAAATTTCTTATTCTGCTATTTTTACCTGGAATTGTATCGATGTATAATATCTCCGTCAGGTGCCACACACACTCGACGTTGTAGAAAATAGTGAGAAAATTTTCCAGAAGTTTCTTCTTGTCTGCCATTGCCTTGGCAGCAGTCTCCTGAAGACTCTCGACACATGCTCGAAGAATCGATCTGTACTGCTTGCTGTATTTCACTAATTCCGGTCTAGCTTCGTTCGCCTTAGTCCTCTCGATGTTTCTTATCGATACGAATACTCCGTTGCTTTCATTCACTAATTTTCTGAGTGTCGGGTGGAAGAGAATGACTTCTTGGCGGAGAAGGTGGATTCGAGCCTCGCAGGGGTAGAAATCACTCTTTCTGTCTGAATTGTGAAAAACGAAATAGTAAAAGGGCGTAATCTCAAAGAATTGAAATTATTCATTCTATGAATTACTCTAAAAAAGTAAACTATCTAATTTTTTTCTGATTAAAGAAAAGGTTCAAAATAATTTAATCAATAATTCATTTTCAAAATGATAAAATTGATTATTAATTCAGATTATTAAATTTGTAATTCGTTCTTGAACGAATTACCCTGACGAATACATTGGAAAATAATTTACTCCATCGTGACGTTAATAATAGAAACATCAATTCGACTCATCGTTATCATAATTAATAATATTTACCATTAGTGTGTGCATTAGTTTGTTTATGTGGAAAGACCCCCAATTGATTTCCCGTTCGCCAAGTTGCTGCAATGCCTGCTTTACTACAGAGAGCATCGGGAATTCCCTGTTTCCGAAATAAAAACAACCATTTTATGAACAATCACTCATTTTTTTTAAGTTGACAAATCGTATGGAACGAATACCGGCAGGTTTATAGGTTAGAGCAATATCAACAATCCTTCATTATTGACTCAAATCAATTAATCCATCAACTCACGATTATTTGGGCGCTATCCTTTTCTCCCATCGCAAGAGAACTGTCCCAAAACTCTATAACAATTGAAAAATTATAAACGAGAGTTACATGGGAGACTTGTCGCGTCTCTCGTTCCAAAAAAAAAACCTCGCGGACTTTAGCGGGATTTCAATAGTTCCCACGCATGCACGGCGACTACTCGGCCGTGTCTCTGCGCATGCGCCGCCCCTCCGAGCCAACGCCATGTTGCCTCGACGCCAGTGTCTGCCAGTGTCTCTCCGGCGGTGGCCGTAGTCGTGTCGATTCCATGAAAATTCACGATAATCGTTGACCCGGTGAACGCGGGGAGTCAGCGTTGGGTACAAACGCCGACAAAACAATAACAAAGGACTCAGTTGATGCATCGTGCGGTGATTTGCAATGTGAGAATGATTTTTATCGAGTTGACGAGTCACTCGGACGAATGTGATTCTTTCTTTGTGACGAGGGACCCAGAGGCCTCAGAATGCCGGCCGGCAGCCTTTGTTTGTTTACAAACAGTTGTCTGTTGTGGCTTCGAAGGGTCTAGTGGTGTGTCGAGTGGTTCAATCAGTGTCGTTTGTGATATGTGTCAAGACTGAGGAAAAGGAATTTTTTTTATCGTTGTGTCGTGGTTATTTCGAGTCATTGTGGCTATTCTTCATGGTTCAGTAAATTTTTTTTGTTTTTTTTTTATTAGTGGAAGTGAAATTAATTGTTTTGTGAGTGCAAGTGCTTTCGAGAGGATTACAACCCGTGGTTTGCGATGGAGTAGGTGGTTGGAGAGGTGAAAATGGAGCTGTTGTTTTCATCCAACGCCGGTGAGTTATTTCAACTTCGTTACTTGTTTATTTGTTTTGGAAATTCTCGGCGGGGATTTTCTGAGGTGAACCAACGGGCGAATGATCGATTTGTGGGGTCAAATAGGGAAATATGGCGATATGAAAATTTCTGGTAATCTATTTGGTGAAATCATTTTTAAAATAAATTTTGTTTTTTTCAAAATTAATTTTCGGAAATCATATTTTTTTAAATATTGATTTACCATGAAATTATAATTTGGAAAAAATTATTTTTAGTATTCAAAATTCATTGTTATCAATTATTTATCAAACAGGATATCATATCGAAAAATTGCATTCTTTTATCATTTTATAAATTCTTCTAAAAACGACTTTCTGATTTTTTCCTGATGAAAAAAATTTTTCCAAATGATTCAAAATAGAGAATCAAGTCTAGACACTCAGAGTTGAAAAAAAATACAAAAAATCATGAAAAAATTTTTAACGAAAAAGAAGAAAAAATCAAATAGTTTTGTTTGAGGAATAAAAGAATATTCTACACTGGCAAAATGTCGGCAATTTATTAGGAACGACAGAACTTCAATCATATATATATATTTTTTTAATATCTCTCAAAAGTCTCTAAGAGCATTGTTAGAATTAAGTCGCGTTTGCCATCTCTTCCCTTCGGGTGTGCAATTAAATAGTATTTACAAATCATCAATTACTTGCTTTCCTTTTAATCATATTATAATTTAATTAATAGTTCTGCACGTTTCATTCTTTTGTCTGTATAATTGTCAGTCTTCGATTTGTTTTTGTTTTTTTTTAGTTTGCCAAGAAAAAAAGAAAAAAAATACATCATCTGTTTTACATACATTCTCTGTTGTTTTTAATATGTACTGTATTGTACAGAGCGAACGATATAAAGGGGTTTTTGTTTCAATTTTCGAGAGATTTCGCACGGGGAAAGGATTTTTCATTGAAATACTTGAACTCGTGTCTTTCTTAATGCGAACAATTGATATGATTGTTGCTATTAAAAATCACCAGCTCTGTTTTGATAAAATATTCAAGACTTTTTGTTCACTCAAGATAAAATTTCATTAATATTTATTTAAAATTTCAATTCCCCCCCAATTGTTTATTAAAATTTCACTATTTTTAATCATTCAATTGATGATTTTAAATTATTTGCAAATGTGATGTCTAATTTATCTTAATTAATTACGTAAATTCCTGCATTATAATATTTTAAATAAATAATTTTTTGTCAATAAATTATTCAAGTATTATGCGCAATCCTCCCTCCGTAAACTCTCTCTCTATGCGCCGAAAAAACTATCTAAATACACCTATTGTCGTCTAAAATTTATGCCCAAAAAACATGTAGATTTTTGTGTTTCTTTCGGTTTTTTTTTGTTTGTTTAAAATCTAGATAAAAAAATTGTTGTTTTTCCTTCTTTGATTATCAGTTTAAAATTCAGACTGTGCCTTCATCACTGATTAAAGAAATTACATATGTCGTTATTGTTAGTAAGTAATGGATATAAAATTAAACTGTGGCTTTTCCTTCAAACTTTCGCCTTTTGCTTCTTTTCATTCTAATGAAGGTTGCAGTTACCAATCAGGGGTCCCCTTTGTTTCGTTTTTTTGTCGCGTTTTTTTCTCACTCGTGATTAATTGAATTTTTCATTCTTAATTCTTTTGGAAATTCAGCCGCAAATTGGTGGAGCATGACCAATTGAACTTGGATTTTTGGGTTTCCCTTGGAAATTAATAGTTTCATAAGAAAATTTTGAACAAATTGTTTTTGACATTTACCCCTAAATCCAATAATTACCGAGATAATTTCATAGATAAGTAGCAAAATAAAATTCTGGAATATTTCTACTTTTTTAATTGAAAATAATTATCTTGAGAACTAATGATTCTAGAAGAAAATGTAATGAAATTTTTTTTGTTGAATAAAAATTTTCAACAAAAAATGTCTGACGTTTTTCCCTGAAATTAATAGTTACCAACGTAGTTTCTTGATTAAGTATTGAGATACAAATTGAAAATGGTGAATATTCACTTTTTTAATTATGCAATTATCTCGAGAGATAATTATGCTAGAAAAAAATGTCACAAGAACTTTTTCTAGAAGACAAAATTTCCAACAAGAAAGTCTTGTGCTATTTTCATCCAGACCTAATAATTACGGTAATAATTCCATAATTAAGCAAAAAACAAAATTTTGGAGGACTTTATCTACTGTTGTAATTAAAAGAATTAGCTTGAGAATAGATAACCCTAGAAGAAAATGTCAAAACATTTTTTGTAAAGAACATCTTTAACAAAAAAAATCTACCATTTTCCTCTCAAATTAATTCTCAAATTAATTGTCACGATATCATTTATAAGTATCTAAAATTTACTTTTCGAATTATGCCATTATCTCGAGAACAAAAACCTCTGGAAAAAAATGCAACAACTCTTCGCAACGAGAACTCTAAAAAAATCATCTGACATTTCCCCCTAAAACCAATAATTACCTAGATGATTCCCCATTCATAGACCCCCAAATAATCCAATTTCCTCCATTTGACATCTGAATTCCCGAACAGCATCAAGTTATCCATAAATACGATACATCCCATTCACAATTGAATAATTCTATTGTTTTTCATCATTTCAGTGTCAATAATAAATCCAAGGAAATATTATCTCAGTTATATGTCCGTAATAATTAAAATATAATGATACAATATTAATATAATTATAATAATTGTAATAATTAATAATACACCTTAAAATTAATATTTACAGTTGATTCACTTAATTGTTGGAGTACCACCCGTAAAATTCTCTGATTGGAATTACAGCCAAACGGGGAATAAATCATTCATTATTTCATCATCATTACGTGTTTGCATTTTTTTTTTCGTCGTTTTCTTTTAAATAATTTCCTTTTTACAAAATTACATTACAAACTTGCAGATTACAACATCTGGCTGTATCAATTCATCTACCAAACCACATGTACATCGTTTTTATTTAAAATCATAACATTACACGATGGCTTAATCATCATAATTATCCTTTTCCTCTCTTATAATCTCTTCTTCATCATATCAATCTGTCATTGATCACTGAATATCGATTGTTGAATCTATACAAATGCAGTAATTACTCTCATCACGGATAAAATGATAAAATACAGTTGAATTATTCAGAGAAATAAAACGTAAAAAGTCAATTACTCGATCAGACAGTAAAATTAATTATCTACTTTTACTTCTTTCATTTTCTTTTTCCATAAGTTGTTTAAACTTTGAAATTGTCTCGTTACGTTTGACTTCACTCCACTTGAAAGACATTAGCGAAAAGGACAAATGACAACAACAAATTCCAATGAAAAAGAGATATAAAAGAGCAGAAGAGACTTGGACTGAATTAAATCCAGATTAAAAAAAAAACTGATTTACACAGCATTACTTTATCGTTTTTTTTTATAGTTGTTAATGTTTTAAAATACTTTATTAGATGAGGGTCACGAGCCCATTATACTTCTAACAGCCTGATCAAGCACAGAGTCTTTAGAATCACTACTATTACCCGATGTTTGTGTTGTTCCTGCACTAGTACCACTTACTTGTGTACTAACAGCACTAGCATTTGATGGCCTCTTTTTCAAATTGAGAATACTATCGATAGCTGATTGTACCTGTGCTGTTATATCATCATGATCATTAATGAGCCCCTGTCCCTGTTCATTGTCCTGAATTGATGTACCTGGCAATTGTGACTGTAGTGCCAAATCATCAAGACTATCAGTATCCTCAATTAAATCTCTCTCAAGATCGTCTCTCAATGCAGCACTGCACCAACGTTTATCCAATTCCATATGTCCAGTATCACTTGTATCGTCAAGATTTTTCATTGTACTTTGATTGACACTTGCACTTAAACGACAATCACCATTGGCTCGCGTTCTTTCACATTTTGTCAATGATTTTGTTGTTAAACAAGCACCGTTAGCACTACTACCACTGGCTCCACTGCATACTTGATGTTTACATTTGCCAGTGTCACCTGGATATACACCAAGCTCCTTCTGGATTTCAAGCCACTCGTCGTAATCACCACTTGTGCAACTCGAGGGCTTTAATCTCGCTTGGGGATCGGTTGGGTGGGATTCCATACCACAAAAATCATCATCGAGCTCTTGTTTCACGAGAACGTTGGCTAGGCTTGTCGAGCTCTTCTCCTCGTCTGTCAGGTCTGCCTCCAGCTTTGGGAGAAGGGGCTTCTCTTCTTTCTTGAATTCTTCTGGAATTTTTAAGGGGTTTTTTCAAGTTAAAAGATGATTTTTGGGGGTTTCAGGGGTTTTAATTGAGGTTGGCTGAGTAAATTTTGATAAACTCTATGTTATTTCAAAGATACTTTTGAATGGGGATTTATTTGAAATATGAGTGACTTCTGCAACAGATTTTTCTTCTTTTTTCCCATTTTTTGAGAAATGGGGAGTTGTTTTTTAATTGTTCTGAAATGTTTAATCATTTTTTCTGAAGTTTTTTACGATTTTTTCTCAATTTTTTTTAGAAAAAATGACATCTATTGAAGACAAAAAAACCTCTTCTAATTTTCTGATAAATTGAATTTTTAATTTTTTGTCCTGATGATTTATCATCATTCATCACTTTAGCATCAGTCGTTTGAATTGTCATGAATTTGGTAAAATTTTTAAAACGTTTTTCTAATTCAAAATAAGAACAGATTTATCACAATCGAATTGTTTGACGAAAAGATATTGAAGAAAAATGAATCTTACCACTGGCTTTAGCTTCCTGCTCCCTCAATCTGTCCAACATGCTCTGTTCCTCAGCGACGAAAACCCTGTTGAGCATCATGACTTCAGACGTCCTCACTTCCCTCTGGAATACGAAAAAGCCCATGAAATCACCCACTCCAAATGACCAACCGTTCAAACAGCATAAAACACCCAGTCAAACAAAATATTTTCAAAAAAAACTCACCATGCTCTCCATCAGCAGTAGATAAGTGTACTTATTCATCATGGAATTGAATTTACTCAGCAGATGTTTAGCTGTCTCCTCGAATATCTCATCAGCCTTGGCCAGATCCTTGGCACTGAGCACCTGTTCATTGAAGCAATGATACCTGACAAGTCTCTTGCAGGCATCCCTCTTCCCCGTAAATGGTGTATTAACATCTGGATTGACCGCCCCATTCTGATCAATCTTCAGCTGCTGCTCCATGAGATCACCCCGATTAATCTGCCTCGAAATAGGACTAGTTGCTGGCCTCTTGATCCCCTGCCTAGGGCTCTGACTAACCGAAGCTGAACTCGTACTGGGACTGGCCAAAGAAGTTTTAATTCCCACATTCACTGGGCTCTGAATTCTGGTCCCCTTTCCACAAATCCTCGGTGACGATGGTATCACCTGACCAGCAGGTGATGTCGATTGTACCTGAACAACAGGTGATGGTAATTCCTGCTTGATAGGACTGATGATTCCTTGGATAATGGGCTTGACATCTGGTGGATCTGTCTGGCACTGGGTCGACTGTTGCAGCTGATTGTGCTGAGGGCAGGCACCAGGTGAAGTGCCCTGGATCGAGGACTGATATACCTTGACTGGTGAATGAAATTTCGGCAATTCCATCTGCTTACTCTGACTAGCCTGACACGTGTGAATTGTTGGCATACTTGGATCCATTCCACTCTTCATTCCCTCCATTTTGCTGACACTTGGCTCTGACACAATGGGCATACTTGCACTCGTCGATATAGTTGATGTTACAACTGAACACGATGTTGTGACGACAACTGGTGTCATTGTTTGGGTTTGAGCTGTTGATGTCTGATTTTTAATCACTGTCGAGGGATTGAGGGGATGAGATACTGTGAAGACTGTTGGAGATGAGATACCAGCGTTGGTGGTGGTCTCTGATGCTGTTGATATTGTTCGTGATGGTGTTGACACTACCTTTCCCCTGGCAACTATTTTATTGTGCTCCTGGTAGAGCTTCGCCAGAAGGGCCTGATCAGCTGGACTATTAGTTTTTCTACTCGAAATAGTCTGAATCTGGGTTTGAATGCTCTTGAGCATCTGCTGTTTCTGCACTGGCAGCTGAATGTATCTGGATGTTCTCTGCACCATTTGACCATTTGAGGGCACTTGGGTTGACTGGTTCCCCTGGGTCTGGATGCCAATTGTCTGGATGCTTGATGTCACTCTTCCTGCTATTCCCAACTGTCCAGCCTCGATTTTGGGACATGTGGGGGGATTCTGGGGCTCTTTCACCACTGACGATGCTGGGGTACTCGTAGAGACAGACGTTCTCGCTGTTTTTATCCCCTGGGTGTAACCAGTTTGGGGTAATGACACTGTCACTTTAGTTCTTTTTACTACTTTAGCTTTTTTAGTTGTTGTTGTTGTTGTTGTTGTCGCTGTGGTAATGGGATTCACATTGGACTGGTTCGACTGATTTATCTGATTGCACTGGGACAAGTGTGTCACGGGGGCATTACCAGTGTTGGAAACAGTTGTTTTATTACCACTCGACAAGTTTCGGATCTGCTGTTGATTCAAATTGTCAATGAATTGTGTTGGAAATGCTTGATTCTGAATTTGTATCTGATGGGGCATCTGATTGGGCGCTGCTTGGACAACAATATTCTGAATGTTATTTTGTATCGTTGGAGCACCACCTGAACTATTCACAATTATCTGGCTGGTTGGGGTGTTTATCTGGACACCAGGAAGATTTTGAGGATTCGATCCGTCTGCATCGCCGATCACAATTTTCTGGGTTTGGCTCTGATTCTGATTTTGATTGAGGGAACGCTGGGCATTCAGCTGTCCTGTCAACAATTGCTGGAGCAATTGTTGACTTATCACCTGCATCTGTCCATTGGCATTGGCTATCAACAGCTGATCATTTGGATTGAGATTGCTCAGAGCATTCAGAATCTCAGGCGTTATCTTCGGTGCATTATTCAGAATATTCGTTGCTGCTGAATTGAGCAATTCGGGATTTTGAACTTGTTGCTTCGTTGTTTGACCTGCACTCGTGTTTATTACAGTGTTGTTGATGGGGGTGGGATAGTCACTCGAGAATATTACGTTTTGTTGTTTATTCTGGGTGATTTTGTGATGATGAACGTTGATGTTTGGGGGCTGGGTGTCATCCTGATGATGATTAACTGGACTGGGTGTGTCCACAAATCCTTGAATCAGGTTTTGATCAAGATTATGAGTCAGAGAGTCTGGATTAGCACCCAGAATGTTTAAGGAGTTCTGCTGGAGACCTGAGACTGTTGTCTTGTGAACATTTTGCTCCAGACAGCGCTGAACATTGAGTGACTGAACTGTTTGGGTTGATATCTGGTGGATGTTCTGTTGATTAATCTGCTCGTTATGCTGCTCCAACTGATGAGGTCGAGATTGTTGAACTGTTGGACTCTTTGTAATCTGCTGTTGGACGGCTCTACTGTTTACTGCATTACCAGTCTGTTTAACATTTGATGATTGATTTGATGATTTTTGGGACTGCCTCTGGACAGTCTGATTCTGCATGAAGACCTTTTTACAGGTGTGGGACTTGGTCTTGTGATCGTTCTTGGGTTTGTGATCTGTTCCTATTGATATCTGGATACCAGTCTGGGGCTGTTGGAGGCTCTTCTGGGGGACGTTTGGGGGAACTCCAGGGGCTGATCCCATGGTTCTTTGTCCAGGAATGTTTGAATTGTTCTGCTGCTGCTGCTGCTGCGGCTGCTGCTGGAACGTTTGCTTCGAGCAGATCTGCATTCCAGGGGCGTGAACCCCTGGAGGTGATGAGCTCACTTGACTCGAGGTCTGATTCCCCGATGACTGCTGATGCTTCAATCCAGGCTTACCACGAGTCTGCTGATTCTGCTGATTTTGCTGGAGGTTCTGGGCATGACCCAGCAGCTGGGAAATTATCTGGGAATTTTGACCACTACCTTGGGTCAGGGATCTTATCAAGGCTTGTGCTGTTGCCTGATCTATCTCAGGCTGATTGGGCTCTGGTGTGTGATGCAGAATAACTCGTCCATCTTCACCCACAGCTAGTCGTAAATGTCCGGAAATTGTGCTGTGAACTGGGATCTGGAGTTGGGCAACTGGCTGATTGTTGTGATCTTGATTTTGACAGGTTGGGGGGAGACTCTGGGGTTGGGGCTGATTTTGAGGGGGTGGATTGTGGTCCAAGTGTTGGACTGTCATCTGGGGTATCTGGGGCTGCTCCATGTGCTGGAGGGGCGGCGGGTGCGGCTCAGGCTCCGGCATAACGTCGGTATCGAACATGTCGTCCTCGTCGCCAATTCCAGATATCTTCATTATACTGGCTAGGTCCAGCTTCGGTGGCTCCTCGTCCTTCTTCTTGGGTTGTTTCTTCTTCTTGGCTTTTTTCTTGGGCGGCGGCAGGAGATTCTGATCGGGTACTGGTGGCTGGGGGGGAGTTATGTGGTTCGGGGAGGCCGTGGGGGGCTGGGTATTGAGGTGGGATTGGGGGGACTGGACCATTGCGTTTTGAATCACTATTTGGTTGTTGCTCGCTGGATTACCTGGGAAAAAGAGAATGCAATGTTGAATTGTTTATTTTCTTTATGCTGAAGGTGAATGAGAGTTGGAAGTCATGAATGATTGTTGATTCGACTTCTGGGGGGAACTAGTTCTAGAACAAAATTATCTAATGACATTTTTTCGTCTTTCATATGATAATACAGTACACTGTTTGTACATTTTTCTGCCCCTATTTAAATTTCAAGATCAACTGGGGAGAATTAATTATAATTTTTTAATTTGATTAAAAAATTTGAATCAATTTTTCAATTTTATTTTGAAAGAAAAAAAATAAAAATCTTGAGGAGAAGTAGAGCTACAAAAGAGATGTTTAATGAAATATTTGTTTCATGTAGATTCTAAAATCTTTAGAAAAAAAAAGAATAAAAATTGACACGAAATGCAAAAAAACATCTCTAGAGAGATTTTCATGTCTCTTTTAGAATCTAAAGTTTAGATTACAAAATATGTAGAAAAAAAAGGTGGGAGAGGGGGGGAGGGGCATTTCTGGGAGATTAGGCTTACCAGGGGCTGGACTCGATGGAGTATGCCTCATAACAGGTGGGGCTGGTGGTGGAAAGCCATTTGGAACAGCGAAAAATGTTGGGGTGATGCCCTGCAACTGCATACCCTGGGCTGTTACCACCCTCACGAGTTGCTGCTGCGTCAGCTATAAATTATTTAAACACGTGAATATATTTTGAAACGGGGTAATCGATAGCCATAAGCACCATTATACATTGGAGGAGGGAGATGAGTTTGGAAGGAAAAAAATGGACGTTTATTTGAATTGTGAGTGAAATTTTAGCCTTTGGGGAAGATATTGATTTTTTGATATCTCTGACAGTTGCATTATTGAAAATTCAAAGGGATGCGAGTTGTGTGTGGAGGGTGATAATAATCTGGAATTATTAAAATTTTTCATTAGGTGGAAGGTCAAAGGATATTGGAGAATAAATTACGAGGTTGATTAAATTGTCATAAGTGCACTTCGTCGTAATTTAGTCTCCAACATCCTTTGACCTTCCACCTAATTAATGATATCATGGAGATAAACTTATTTATTGATGAAAATTTTTGTCCTTTCGTGTGCGAAATCAAGAGAATTCGTGGAGATGTTATCACATGTAATTACTTTGAGACAATTTTTGTATGGAAATCAGTAGCGAAGCGGTAAACTGGTATAAGTCGATTTTGACTATTGGCCAGATTTCAATAAATATCTCGGAATCTAAGAGAAATAGTGAAATTGTTGTAATTTCATTTTTTATAGCTCTCAATTTGCTCTACAAAAAAGGTTATGACAACAATTTTGCTATTTCCCTTAGATTTTGAGATATTCATTGAAAACTGGGCAATAGTCAAAATCGACTTATACCGGTTTATCACTTTACTACTGAAATGATTTTTTTATATGAAAATTGTCGATGTGTGCATATGATAACAGATAATTCAGAATAATGCCCCAGACAATTAAAGTCTCTCCCTTTATGAATTAAATCAATAAAAAATTAATGGAAAGTATCAAGTGAGGACTGATTAATTATTGAATTATCACGTTGACGGCTCGATTCAGAGAGAAGTAACAGCGGTTTCACCTTTATATTGAACTTCTTCAACTATTTTTCTGTGAGAATGATTTTTTAATGGGAAAATCGTTAACGAATTAGTGAATAACGACGACAAATATGATGAATATAATAAACATGACGACTTTTGTAAGCAAAATAATTAGAAAATCGATAAAAATATTCGAATCAACGATAAAATAGTTTCAGCAGAAAATTTCTCAAGAGAAACCTTCTAGATAATTGTTCAATTACCAATAATTTCGCATTCAAGTTGAGCTTCAGAATTAATTAAATTCTTTAATTCATATTAAAGAATTAATTTTTTAACATGAAAATCGTGAAAAAGATGACAAACAATTGAGAAAAATGTCTTGAAATTCGTAAGAATGTTCAAATTAATTCATCATATCCAGATAATTAGGAAATTTTTCCTCAATTTTTTAAATAATTAAGAGATAATTGCGTAATTAACAAAGACATCGTTGGGATTGGACGTTTTTGTCCCCATTTTTCTCGTGAAATGATTAGTTTTATGTACAGGGGGTAAATGAATTGATGAATCACACGATACTGATTATATACATAACACATAATGGTGCACTTTGAGAAGAATGAATGAATGAACGAGTGAAACCATCACCTGTGCGGTATGCGTTTGTTGTTGGGCATTTGTTGGCGTCCTGAGTATTAGTTGAACGCCGCCGGGCTGTTGTTGAACAATCACAGGACCCGTTGACGGTAGTACCTATGTATGCAGCAAACCCAATGAGATACCGTTATCACAGAGAATCCCACGATAATTCAATGGTGAAGTGATTCAATAAATTTGAACGATTTCTTAATTCTACAAATTTCTGATATTTCCTCCTGAAATTTGTAATTACCGAAAGGGTTGAGGGATCGACAAAAGATCAAAATTAAATCAACATTTTAAATCAAATGGACATATTCAAAAAAAGTAAACCATTTTTTTTTTATGAAGATATCGCAGGAATTGTCAACTTGAGGAAAAAATGTCAGAAGAAATTTTTTTTAGTTTAGGAAATTTCCCACAAAAATGGTTTTTTGACATTTTCCTCTCATATGTTTGGTTACTGAGATATTCGTGGAATTAACGAAAGGTAGTTCACTAGGAAAATTCATCATAAACAGGGATTAGACTGATCAAGGTTTAAATATACTAATAGACATTTTTTAAAAGTAAAATAATTGATAATCTAAATTTCCAATTGATGATGAATTAAATATTTAGAATATGGAACTAGAAATTTTCTGTTAAGAAAAAATAACAGAAAATGAAGTGATTGAATTATCTTCGTAACTCAATTACTGATTAATGAATAATTCAAAATTTAACTATTTAAATCGATGATTATATCAATAATTAAAATTCTAACGTGATATTAGCTTAATAATTTAAATAATTTGGGAATATCTCGAGAATGAGTAACCCCAGCAAAAAATGTCATGAAATCTCTTTTGTAGATCATGAAATTTCCCACCAAAAATGTCTTTTCACATTTTTTCAAATAATCGATATTTAGTGAAATAATCGCAGAAATAAACAGATATGTCAGTATAAACTATTTCATCACTTCACCATTGAGTTAAACATTTAGAAAATGATCCCGAAAAAGTTGAAGCTTGTATTAGATGAGGGGATGATATATGTTAAGCGATACGAGACAATTTTGCGAGAGATGAAACAGAAGAACTTTATTAGAAGAATGATGATCGATTATTAAAGAATCCACGGAAAATCACCTGGTTCAGTAGTAATCCTTGAGCTGTGGGTATCATTGTTGCCGTTTGGTTCTGGTGGTGTCCAGCTAGCACCAATTGCGGTTGTGTTTGTTGTGTCACCTAAACATCATCGTAAAAATCATTTTTAAAAAACCCAGGTAAAATAGGGATGAGCTTTATTAATAGATTTTAATGAATTTTTTTTTCATCAAAACCTGTTTTTCGTATTCGTGGAAAATAAATACCGGATTTTTTTTCAGTTAAAAATTGGATAAAAGGAGTAGTAAAGAATTGTCTGGGTTTTTTTGTCGAGTCAATGAGAAATAATTCGATATATTCCAGTAATGAGGAACTACAATGGATAATTTATTTCTTCTTTAACGAAATATTGAAGATTTTTAGATTTTTAACGATCAACATTGTCAAGTAAATGACATTTTTATGGAGAAATTACTTTCTTTTGCAAGATCTTCAATAATTTCAGATTGACAGAGTGAAATTGAACAATTTCTTTTTGTCTTCAAGGTATTTTTTCTAATTTCTAAATAATACCTGACTGGTTTAAGATCCTACCATTGGATCAGGACATTTTATCTCATCTTCCCCTAGGAAAAATTCATAACAAAAATCCCCACTTGTCCCCAAAGAAAAAATCATAGAAAATCTCATCCCCTTTCCCTTTTCCTCAACAAGAACGGCTTCCACCGAATAATGTCCACTCACCTGATTAGTAATACTCGTGGCAACTCTCTGCTTAGGTGGTGTTGCCACCCCCTGGCTATTGGGTGGTTTCGGCAGAATTTGGGGTGGTTGTTTAGCCGCCTTTGTCTGAGCAATTTGTATCTGTTGATTACCAAACAGTGCAGCCCTCGTCACCAGCTGCGAAGAGGCCTGCTGATACTGGGGAGTGCCAATAATCTGAAGAACCTGCATACCCTGCTGAAGTATCGGTGTATTCGGCCTCACTGGACTGGGTCCAGGGCTACCACCAGGTGCTGGACTACGATTATTTAAATTTCCCGTCATTCCCCCTGTTATCTGTCCCCCAACACCCTGAAGATGTGGACTCTTGGCCGGTGGATAGGGACTCGGTGCTGGACTCTGTATGGGGCCAACACTCATGGGACTCTGCATTGGACTCTGAAGTTGAACAGTGAAATTCTGCTGGACGGTTGTTGTTGTACCAGTACCACTGGTCGTTGTATTCACCATTGAAACAGGACTTGGACTATTTCTACTCGATTGCATTGAATTTGACGCTGGACTGCGCAGAAGTATTCGATTGGGACTTGGACTTGGTGTTGGTGGTGCTATGTTGGACGCTGGACTCTTCATGGGTATTGAGAATGGACTTCCCGGTGAATTGACATTCTGAATGCACTTGACAACTGTATTTCCCTGCTGTGTTGGGGTCTGATGGTGTCTCGAGAGGGTCTGACTGTGTCCATATCCAGCTGATGTGTTTACAGGGCTTATTGAGTCAGTTTGAATTGAGGGTAATGACGCAACAGCTGGTGATGTTGACAGATTGCACTGGGACATTGTTCCTGAGAAGCTCAAACTCTGGGTTGTGGTGGCTGTCGACTGATTCATCTGGGATGTGGAGAGTATTGGGGTGGGATTGTTCTGGGAGATGCTTGTGTTGACAATGTGGGGGGCTATGCTCTGGATACTCTGGATGGTTTGGAAGGGAAAGCTTGTGCTGCAGTTGAGGCTTGTGGGTATTCCAGTGGCTAAAACGTTCAGGGAGGTTCTGTTGAAGGCCTGATTGACACTAGTTGTGATGCCATGGCTCTGGGGGGTCAGGTTTGATGTTGTCTGGTTGTTTAAATTCGTCAGACTTGTCAGATTCGAGATGTTGGAGATGTTGTCGCTCGTTGAAATTGTCGAGAATTGGGACTGCGTCAGGCTGTTGTTTATTGTCGACTGATTCAGACGATTGAGGGCTGTATTCATGTCCTGGCCAAGTCCAGTTAGACCATTAGCTGTAATACTGTTCGAGGTGAGGTTCGAGTTGAGCGCATTCAGGGTGTTGAGGGTGTTTAGGGTCGTTGGATTGACTGTTGTCAGGGCTGAATTCAAACTGGGAATGCCGAGATTGAGCAGTGGATTGGAGGTAGTTATGACGTTTGAGGTGAGTGATGTCAGGCTGGTGTTCAGTAAGGAGAGTGGCAGTCCCATGTTGAGGCCCACCCCGAATGTCGGGGCGGCCGGGGGCAGGCCCATACCACTCCCTGTTGGGGTTATTGTACTCTGATTCAATTGGCTCAGTTGATTCAGGTATACGATGTGATTATTTCCAATTCCAGTTGCTGATCCAACTGGTGTTTGATCCTGACCATTGTTGGAGGGGGATTGTTGCAGGGCAAATGTCAGGGGCTGGCCTGATGACGACTGGGCTTGGAGTTGCTGGAGCTGTTGGAGCTTGAGGAATTCATTTCATTTTGAGAGATTGTTTTTTTTTTCTTCAGGTGCATTTGCGCAGTTATTGAAATTTTGGAGAAGGATTGTTTGCGAAATTTTGTTGTTTCGCAAAATGTCGCTCGACATTTTCTCGCCAACATCTTTGTTTCAGATATTTACGAAATAATAGGCAGTAATTTTTTTTGGTGAATTTTCATTCGCAGGAGTTTTTAGTTAAACTAAGGGCTTCAGCAAAACTCATCATAAAATGTTTTTGAAATTCTCTTAGAAAAGGTTGGGACATAATTTTGAAAATTCTGTTCTTACTATTCTGAGATTTTGCCAAGAGAATTTTTTAGCTTTTGAAATTCTCCAGAAGAAAAATTCTCTCGACATCTTCCTCTGAATATTTTTGTTTCATGAGTATTAACAAAAGAAAAAATGCAATAAATAATAAATAGTTCGTTTAAGGCATAAAAGTCCAAAAAATTCTCCTGAATTCCTTCACTTTTGAAATTCTGAGAAAAGACGTGAAATGTAGAAATAACTACCTGCTGATGAGTTAGAACAGCAACAGGGTTGTTACGTCTTGCAGTCGGGGAAGTTGTGGAGGATACAGAGTCCCCGAGGAGAGGGCGTGTCTGAGGCTGCTGCATGCCCACGCAGCACCTCGTAATCCTAGGTAGCCACCTTTTCAGCCACCTTAGCAGTTTTTTATTGTTTATTATTTATTATCAGCTTTCTTCACTTATTTCACTTCTTCGTTATGATTCAATTGTTACATTCGTCTTTCAACGTATCATCACTCTATTTTCGTATATGACACAGTATATCTGGAAAATAAAATCCCAATTTACAGACAAAATTCTAAAAACTCAATTTTAAATTAGCAGAGCAGAATTATTCACGTTTAATTTTCAATATCTCGACAATGGCTGAGTGAAATTCATCGAATTCTCTTTCATTTTCAAGATCTTTTCATAATCTTGAAAATGGGATGTGGCTCATCCAATTCGTGCCATTAGTTGAAAAGTTATTGGAGATATAGGAGAATAAAATTTTCTGAATTCTCATCTACACCTCAATCATTACAATAATTACCTTAAAAATCAGGTGCAACAGGAGATTGTTAGACGATCTGATATTTGCACTACGGCGCCACTCAACGCGTCTGCGACCCACGTCGCCTGTTCCTGACATTCATGTAATTTACCTTTTCACCCCACAACATAATTCAAAAAACATTTTACAGTTCTCCAGTGATTGTTTGCAATACTGGATCAATAATTCTGATGATTCACTCATGAATTTATCAGTGTTAAACATGTCTTTTTCCACATGTTGCGTCAATCGTTCATCCATCGAGAACAATATTACCACCAATGAATCATTAGAATGTGATTGCAGTTGTGATCATTGGATTCTTTGATTATTTATTCCTCTTTACATAGTTCCCTTTATTATCCCAGGATTATTATGCTTCTGTTTGTGAATTTTCCAGTTCCAATACGATGGCTCCAAGCCTATCCTAAGTCTAAAACTGAAAAATAATTTGCTGACATTGTTCGATCCTTTAGATGTCGATCACAACTCCTTGCATTGTTTATTCCTTATTATGCGGATTTATGGGTTTTTTTCGGGTCTGGGGTGGATTTATTCAACTCCTTGGCTCAATTCCAGTGATTTTTATCTCTGGGAGACATAATCTTCGTGATGATATTGTTTAAAATCTGGAACAAAATGATTTAATCAATCTAAAATGCACGATTTTACGAATTCGTTGGAAATATTTGCAGTGGAATTTTCATGAATATTTATAGATTGGGGAGGAATACCGAGACTTATGAATGGATTTTATTTTTTAGGGAATTTCAAGAGTTGGAGAAGAAGGTTCTTGTATGAATTTTTCTATTTTCGTTAGGTTCAGTAATATTTATCGAAGATTAATTCTTAAAGTGAATTGATTGCTAAGGAAATTTCTTTGGAATTCAGTTCAGTCTTTAGTGATTATGTAGGGGCTGGAGGAAGATATTAAAATTTATGTATGGACCTTTTTCTAGGGAATTTCAAGAGCTACAAAAAATGTTTCGACAAAAATTTCGGTATCTCTTGCAGATCCAGAGATATTCATCAAAAACAAATTTTAAAATTGAATCGATTTTTAAGGAAATTTCTTTGAAATTCTGTTCAGTCTTTGATAAATATCCAGGGGCTGAAATGAGATATCACAATTCACATGGGGGCCTTTTTGTAGGGGATTTCAAGAGCTACAAAAAATGTTCTGATAAGAATTTCGGTAACTCCTGCAGCTCCAGAGATATCAATGAAAAACTAATTCTAAAATTGAATCAATCTTGGAGCAAATGTCTTCGACATTCAGTTCAGTTTTCGCTGAATATCTAGGGACTGGAGGGAAATATCAAGATTCATGTGACGACTTTTTTGTAGGGAATTTCAAGAGCTACAAAAAATGTTCTGATAAGAATTTCGATAACTCTTGCAGCTCCAGAGATATCAATCAAAAACTAATTCTAAAATTGAATCAATCTTGGAGCAAATGTCCTCGACATTCAGTTCAGTTTTCGCTGAATATCTAGGGACTGGAGGGAGATACCAAAATTCACGTGAAGACTTTTTTGCATATAATTTCAACATCTACAAAAAATGTTCTCACAAAAAAGTCTCTATCTCCCTTAAATTCCAAGATATCCCCAAAAAACCAACGACAGATTGAAATTCCTCCAAAAAGACCTGAAATCTGCGGCTTCTCCCAGAAAATTCAGCAACCCCAGGGCCACACTCCCATATCCCAAAGAATTCTCCCCAAAATTCTGAATTAGAGCCTCCCCCCTCACCATTCCCCCTTAAAACCCTCATTGCATCATCAGAAAAACTGAAAATCCCCTCGAAAATCCCAGTTATCAGCCCCCATCAATTGTCCCACTCCCTCCCCCCGAAGACACTCGAAAAATAACATAACAACGTAACGATAAATAATAACAACTGAACCCCCAAAACTTTAAGGTTATAACAAAAGTCGAAGGAAATCAAGGATAGTGACCTACGTGGTACAGTCCCAGACATATTGCACGAGCCCGGAAAAAAAAAATCCCCCACCAAAAGTGCCCCCCTTCAA